ATATTTATATATATATATATATATATATGTATACAATATATATATATATATATATATATTCATATACATATCCATATCCATATCCATATTTTTATATATATATATATAGATTCAAATACATATTCATATATATATATATATATATATGTATACGTATATTAAGATGAAGATTAAGATTGATTTAAGTATATATATATATATATATATATATATATATATATATTATATACACTTGGTGCATGCCCATAGTTGACAATAGTCAAAGGTCATGCGCTATGGTTTTATCATGATACATTTCAATACAATTCTCTCCATCACTCTTCTGCGCCCACTACCTTATCACCCTGTACTATCCACACCCGCAGACGTAACACCTGAGCAGTTGAAGATCTATGACGATCACTGTGCCATCTGCAGAGACGATATGCTCAACGCGAAGCAGCTCCCGTGCAAGCACATGTTTCATGCCAGTTGTTTGCGTTCATGGCTAGAGCACCATGGCTCGTGTCCCACGTGTCGGATGTCTCTCGTCGAAGACGGACCTCCCAGTGCGAGCGACCCGGCGACTGCCAGTGTGCTGGCCAGCCGCAATCGTGCGAGCTTGTCTATCAATAATTCGGACCTGAATGTCCTCAGACCGTTAACTGGGCTCGAGCCAACTCGGGCACTGTCTCTGCCCCACCCAGCAGTGGACAGGACTGGGACCAGGTCCAATGACGATGGCCCGGGTGCAGGGTCGGACGCGACTCTGAATAATAGGGGGGACTCTACGGCATGGGCAACCAGTCAAGGGTCCGACAGGCGGTTGGGTGGGGGTGACTTACGCAGGCGAAGACGGGAAGGGAATAGGGATCCAGAGGTGCACTCTGGGGAAACCATTGCATCACTCTCAGACGTACACATACGCCCACGCAGGCGCGTGAGTGCAGCGATGTCTGGTGAAGGTAGTAGCCATAGTATCCTGCCACGGTTACAGCAGGTCAGTGACGCGTTCGTGGGCTTGCCGCCTCTGGCGTTCAATCAGTCCTCCGCCACACGTACACACACACCCTCACCCCGTACGCTGGCGGGTGCGCGGGATGGATCTGTTCTTGCACAGGCGAGGGCTCAGACAGCATCACAGCCCAGCACAAGTGCACATACACATACACATACACACACACATACACACACGCAGCGTGTTGCACAGCCTATGGCGAGAGATGCACGAGCAGGGATGGATATGAATACATACGCGGGTGGTGGGTTGGGTCGTCTGTCGGGCTGGCTTGAGCAGTTGATTGGGTCCTTCACAGCCACCCCGCGACTGAGTGAAGAGGAGCTGCAGGAAATGGTCGAAGGGGTGTTGGAAGTGTTCCCACAGGCGAGTCGACACGCGGTGCTGGCAGACCTCAGGCGCACGGGGTCTGTGGTGCAGACTATCGATAATGTACTCGTATGGCCCACACCTGCACCCACACCTACACCCGTACTCACATCCGTACAGACAATCACGACCGTGCAACGGCCTACTACGGATGAAGTGGAGGATGGGTGGGTACGAATGAGTCTGCAAGACTTACCGACTGTGAATGAACATCCAAGTGTGGGCAGGGATGCTGGTGCGTCGACTGAACAGGCGGGTGGGTTAGAGGCAGAGAGTACCACGACCCGCAGTCGCACGGATGCGGATGCGGATGCGAGCAATAGTGTGAGCTACCCTGTAGGTACCTACCACAGCCAACGTATTGTGGGCGGACCTAGTGGTAGTTCAAGGGTTCTGTCATCACACACGCAGCGAGACGAGAGAGTTAGAGGGTTGCAGGCATCTGAGCTGACTGGAGGGGTGAACACGAACCCGGACGCGGACACGCGGATGGGACATGATTCGCAAGCAAGACTGCGTGAACGTGGCGAGACATGCAGCAGTAATACGTTAGATATAGAAAGAGCTGGGGGTGCGGGGAGAAGTCCCGGAACTCAGAGCAACAGCACTAGTGTGTTTACTTCGCGCGCGCCTGTTGCGGAGGCACTCGACAGCTCACGACGGGCTGTGGGTAGGGAAGCATCCAGTAGCAGCAGTCACTATAGGGAACACACTCCCACCAATCACAACAACACCCAACTATCATCCAGTAGTCACAGTGACACTCAGCTATCATCTAACAGTCACAGTATCAATCAACCATCATCTAGTAGCCACAGTGGCACTGCCGCCTCGTCTAATGGGGATGACAGTAGGAGTGTACAACACAATAGCCAGCATGCCCCACACACATCCCTCGCCGACCCTCACTCCGACATAGCGCAAGCCAACGGTGTGGGCTTGGCTGCTAGACGTGACTCTTTCACAGACAGTGAACTGAGCCGACATATAAACGTTTTCAGATCTTCGCAAACTCACATGCAACACCAAAGGAGACCTGGCGGTGTGACTCTTACCATGGGAGCTGGGGTGGATAGGGCCATTAGTGGACTAGGTAGCTTCCTCGCAGGCAACTACCAGAGCGAACCCGAGGTGTCGACTATAAGCAACTCGGTGGTGGACGAAGAGAAACAAAGACTCATCGCCCAGTCTCGCAGGTAAGTTGCCATTGCGTAGGGTAGATGTACGATGTGCGTGTAGTACAGGGCCGTAATTTATGTTCGAGCGGATAGTGTTTATTTAAGTTCTGTGTGTTGTTGTTTATTCCTATCTGTGAATTAGACGTTGTTGTGTTTTTCTTTTTCTAATTTATGCGAATGACTTGCCTTTACTGGTCCATTTATATCCAAACAGCGAGTTGTCTACACGAATTGCTCATTGTTTATTCACCTCGCCCATAAATCCACAGACGCTATACCGAACGGCTACAAGCGCAGAGAGTTGCCGTAGCGGAGCGAAGGAACGAGGCCGACGACAGCATGGGACTAATATCGATGGGTGTGGACGCTGCACTCAGCCAGCCAGCCAGTGTAGGCACGGAGACTAGTATTACGGACGGTGGTGCTAGTCCACATTCCAGTGTGTCGGGTGACGGTGCGAGTGCGTCCTCGAGTGGTGGGAGAGATGAAGTAGGTATGGACTCAAGTGTTGCGGATGACAGTGTAGGTACAAAAACAAGTGCCACAGAAGATGGGGCGGGCAACCATGCCTCTATGGGAGAGATGTCGTCTGTGGGTGAATCAGATGGACCGGAGCCGCTTGTTCTTTCAGACACAGCAGCTTCGTCGCGATCCACTGCGGCGTCTGGCACACCATCACCAACACCATCACACTGGCAACTACAAGTGCAGTCGTCGCCCGTGCAGGCGGCAACGGGTCAACCGGCGGAGGGGGATGTACCTACGTCAGCCCACAAAGATACTCCATCTCCGGAAGCAAGCTTATCCTACAGTCGAGATGAGATTCGGGAGCAGGCCTTCCTGGCTGCGGAAGCCAGGCGAACCCAGAACAGACTCTGAGCACATGCCATCGGTTGACATCAGAGGACTCCCCATGACTCGCATGTTTGGGGAAGGTCGGGATATTGTGTGGTCAGCTGTGCGCGAGTAATGGATATAAGTCTGTACACCGCATTCAGAGTGGTTGTGATCGGTTGTTATAGCTGTTGGTGCCGTATGGGTTGGCTCGTGGGATTGGCTTTCGTGGCAGGTACTGACCTCAATGTCTAAGGGTGTGAGTGATTAAACTCAAACCATACATCCTAAATGATTATGAAGGTGCAGGGATGCGACTGTGAGTGGACGAGGCACACTACGCATCACCCATATGTAGAGTGAAGGTGGCAATAGTGGGGTGCGTCTTTGAACGGGGCAGATAGCAAGTAAGGAAGACCTATGTGTAGTTTCACAAAGTTCGTAGAATTTCGTTATAATATCTTTCTTTTAATGAAAGGGAGAGCTTAGTACAGTCGTCTGCATCTTCATGATTCTCAGCACGCGTTATAGGATTAACCGAAGCTCACTCTAGCGTGACCTACATGATTCGAAAACGTTAGCGAAGTAAAAGACTTAGGCCTTCCCCCATTTGCAATTGGTTATAAGGTGTAGTTTCCGTTTCAATTGACCATTGCTTTGTCAGATTCGGGCCATAATGCTCCCGTTTGTTAGCTATAGTGCGGAATGGATAGTCATTAATGTCTAGTGACTCTAGCCCAAACCCTAAACCTAAAACCGAAACCTTAGATCACTGACATACTCTGTCGGCGTTGAGAAAACAAAAGTGACATAGGCTACGTATGGAAGGTACGCTAATTGCGCTACGGTGGTGCGTAGTGGCATTGTGTAAACCATATACAAGAAACTACCACACCGTGGACGATGGGCCACACTACTACTACTGAGGTATATGCTGAACAGCGATAAAGCTCTCGCTATGTCGTCATGGAATAGACTACAGCACTCTGCTCCACCAACACTGCTGGGTCGGCGTGTTCTATGATATATTACGAGACAACAGTGAATCTCACTAAGTTAGAATCTCATCCCATACCACCATATCACATACACTACTTTACTTTCACTTGCTTTACTACACCCTATTTATACCACCATATCACATACACTACTTTACTTTCACTTGCTTTACTACACCCTATTTATACCACCATATCACATACACTACTTTACTCCCACTTGCTTTACTACACCCTTTTTATACCACCATATCACATACACTACTTTACTTCCACTTGCTTTACTACACCCTATTTATACCACCATATCACTTACACTACTTTACTTCCACTTTCTTTACTACACCCTATTTATACCACCATATCACATACACTACTTTACTTCCACTGGCTTCACTACACCCTAATTATCATTTCTATTGCGCAGTCTGAACCAGTTGATACTCGAGCGTACATCCATCAACGACTATAGTATAACATACCCCCATACCACCTACATTACTTAACTTCTCTCCACTTCAGTTTATTTCCACATGTCTATTGGGCGTTACTACCAGCCAACACAGCGGTGAACATCTAACCCCAGTTCACCATGCTCTGTACGGTAAACCCCACTGCCCTTTGCCTTCCGTACGTTAGTCTTCATCTATGTTGGGCCGTTTGTACCAGTTATTCACTGCATCCATCTCACTGACTTCATCGTCCACAGTCACTTCGGGTAGCATGCCCTGCTCCTGTAGGCGCGGGATCACCCGCCGCCTGGCGTTGATGAACCAGTAGTTGATTTGCTTGATACTGAGGCCTGGTGAAGTGGGGTGTTGGGTGTATAGTTGAATTAGTGCGAAATTGGTGCTAATTCCGCACATATTAGATAACTAACTTGTTTCAAGCTGCGCCCTGGATGACGCCGAAGGGAGTTGTATGGTAGTTGGGTGATTGGTTTGTTTGAAACGGATGCTTGTATAGAGATAGGGTGGATGCGTACGTACAGTCAAATTATCTCAAGAAATATAAAACAGTAGTTGATGTGCTTGATACCAAGGCCTGGGTCAAGTCGGAAAGGAGACAGATATAATTAGCTTGAACAACGAAGAAATGATCATTTATGTGTTTGGTACGAAGAAAGGTTTGTTTATGTGCTTTGAGCAGGATTGTTCATGTGCTTGATATAGAGGCATGTGAGCAGTCAGGGACGTGGCGCACTACCAAATACGCACAAACAATGAAGAATCAGTGGTTGGGGTGCATGATACCGAGGTCTGGGTGAAGTTCAACAGGAGGCGTGCAATGACAAGGCCGTAGTTGATGTGTTTGTTACTTCCCCTTGTGATGTGTTCGGAGAGAGGTGTGTAATCGTCGCTCGCCAACGGAAAATTCAGTGTGCGATGTCGAGTTTAGGAGTCGGAGATGGCGAACTCTAGAATATGCATATACACTTTGGGGAAATCCTATTTCTATAGGGAACCCTACTTGGATTGCATACACATACAGCCGTGTAGAAATTTTCATCTGACCAAACAAACACCGTGAAGCGTGAAGCAGTATATGTCACTCTGTGGGAATGACAGAGACGTCGGCACACCTACACTTGCATACCTGTCTTATCAACACACATATCCTTAGCCTACACTTACATACCTGTTTTATCAACGAACACATCCTTCTCGGTGATAGTGGGATATGGATTGCGAGTATGTTGGAACAGCCAGGTCATCAGCACATCTCTGGCCTCTCGTCTCTCTGGGCTGGTGGACTCTTCCTCGGACTCAGTCTCACGCTATACGATGCAACACAGATGGGGTAAGATAAGGTACTGTATGACTCTTCTTCAGACTCAGTCTCACGCTAATAGAACACAGATTGGATATGATAAGGAATTGTATGACTCTTCTTCAGACTCAGTCTCACGCTGTACGATGCAACACAGATGGGGTAAGATAAGGTACTGTATGACTCTTCTTCAGACTCAGTCTCACGTTAATAGAACACAGATTGGATATGATAAGGAATTGTATGACTCTTCTTTAGACTCAGTCTCACGTTATACGATGCAGCACAGATTGGGTAAGATAAGGAATTGTATTGGGGATTCGTACCCGCGCTTGAGGCGAGGTGAAGGTCTGGTAGCTTAGCCCATGATGATGGGTACGGACTCTGAAGAGTGTGCGAACGACCAATCAGAGATCAAATACGAAGGAGGATAGACGGTAAGATAGTATAGTACTTTAGGAATAGAGGAACCAATCAATACGTGAGAAAATAAAGACACTCGGCGCAGAAGTAGTGCTGTGGTTTTGATATGTACAGTCTCTGACACGGCAATACCGATAATAGGCACCCAGACAATCGGCACCGTAACTTACCGTTTTCCTATTCCCATTTGAATGGGGGTTGAAGTTCATCCTGAGTAGTTGCTCGGTAATGTTTTGCTCACAGGACTCAATCGCATCACGCATACGTAGTGCCTGTGTTGCGAGTGAAAACGTTTAAACGTTTTGTTGTGTCGTTGAAGAGATGGGATTGGTATCGGACGACCATGACTAATGTTTATAGCCTAGTCGGCATTCCGTCATCGTTTGTGTCATGTTGTTCGCTGGATATAGGAAAATGAAGCTGGATCTTCCTAGTAGTGGGATAGTCCCACAACTATCATGTGAAACGTATTTGTATCCATCTATACAAGGTCACTGCAAGCGTAACTCAAAAATCATCATCATTTACAATCACCCATTCATATTGAATGCTTGTGTACCGGACACTATGCAATCCAATCTACAAAGGGTACATAGTAACAAAAGGGACAATGGATGTATATCTATCACAAAAAAAACAGTGATAGACTATATCTATCACTATTTATCAGTATAAAACAGTGATATACTTATCACTATGAAACAGTGATATATCTATCACTAAAACAATGATATATCTATCACTATAAAACAGTGATATACCTATCACTATAAAACAGTGATATATCTATCACTATAAAACAGTGATATATCTATCACTATAAAACAGTGATATACCTATCACTATAAAACAGTGATATATCTATCACTATAAAACAGTGATATACCTATCACTATAAAACAGTGATATATCTATCACGATAAAACAGTGATATATCTATCACTATAAATCAGTGATATACCTATCACTATAAAACAGTGATATATCTATCACTATAAAACAGTGATATATCTATCACTATAAAACAGTGATATACCTATCACTAAAAACAGTGATATATCTATCACTATAAAACTGATATATCTATCACTATAAAACAGTGATAGACTCTGCGCTGTAGGGCAGGAGTGAGTGTGTTCATGGGTGGGCCGATATAGACACCATCCAACCACCAATGCAAAAACAACCCACTCACAACCAGAAGCGACATCCAGACTATGATCCCCACACTTCAACAGACTAGTGTACACATAATTGTCTAGTCTAGGTGCACTCGTTAGACGTACCGTCAGCAACGAGTTGTACTCTCTTTCCAACGCTGCCCTGTCTCGTCGTATTGCCTGTAACTGTCTGGCCATGTGGTCTGCGCCACCGTTTGCAGGGATTGCCCCGTCTTGTAGTATTTTTGGATCGATGTTCAGCGTTGTATCCAGCCAGAGCAGTATTTCATCCATCAGGTTCTGTGTGATTAGGGAAGCAATATTTATATTCGTGTTGGTTTAGGCGTCTTTATTTGTTGGGATAGACAATAAACCAAGTGTGGTGCAAGTTCCCCGTGTTCTATTTGTGATGGGTTGGAATATGTACAGTATAGTATCGATTGACTAAGCATACATAGCAGTGAAGTACATTCGAATTCTCTTATATAAATCGTAACTGTAATCTGTCGAAGATGTCTCCGATGCATGTCAAGAAACACAGTCCACTCCAGATAAGATAAGTATAGCAAGGGAAGTAGTTTAACATACGCCCACTCACACATCCGCGCAAATACAATCTTTACATACATGTACCTGCAAACATACGTATGCATACATGCACCCATGCACGCATACATACAAGCATACACGCAGCCCCACACACACACATACACACACACACATATATATATATATATATATATATATATATACTACCACACACACCACCACACCACCACCACACCGTCGTA